TATATATATATATATAAGTCAATTAAATTATTTAAAAATACTCCTTATCATATACATATATATATATATATATATATGTATGTAAATACACAGGAATTGGGTGATATGCACGAACACGTAGCTTTTTTTAAATTTTGACCTTTATTCTATCTCATTAATTGAAAATCACGTTGATAAGAAAGGAACTTCCCGTTCTTATTTTTAAAAATGCCCATTTACATGGATACCATGTACTTTTTATTTATTTTCACATCTAACACCTAAAATTTTACATTTATGTTCCTAGCACCCAGATTTTTAATATTACAATAAGAAAGCACTTTTCTTTATTTTTATAAGAAAAATATATTTTTTTTCATGCAAACACCAAGATTAAATGTAAAAATCAAAATTTTGATGTTATATCTATAAATATATGAAAATTATTTGGTACACAACTAAATTTTTCTTTTTAAAAAATAATGTATGCATGCTTCTGAATATATCCCAAGCGATGCATGTTAGAAAATTTACAGTCGTAGATCAATGAATTATCATCATAGTTGCAAGTCAATACAATATGAACTCAAGTAATAAAAGTGAAAGATAGAAAAACCAGAGGTTTTTACGTGAAAAATTTTGATAGAAAAAAAACTATTGGGCCTGGACCAGTTGAAATGCTCCACTATGAATTGGTAATTACGCACATGTCATTTTTCTACGAGCGAAAAATGGTTATATTGTTTTTTGAGTTATAATAGTCATACATAGAAGAGCTCGTTGCCCCACGGTATGGAGCACTCACAAAGGAGGGTAGTTGTTGAAGCATCGATGCACCGTCTTTGAGGTTGGCGCGGCGTTCATATAATGCACTGCTCTGTAGGATTCTTCGGGACTTCTTGATGGCAATTGTTGCTTTGCACGGTGCTTCGTCGGTCTACAATGCAAGTTTTGACTCCGCTTGGATTTTCATTGTAACGAGTAAAGAGCGACCGAGGGACAGTAGTTGGCGTCTGCAGGAGCAAGAGGTGTTTGTCGGATCTGTAGTGCAGAAGTGATTTTGGACTTCAACTCTTCTTCAAAGCTTCAGTCTTTTTATGGCTTAAGGTCTAGGTTTCTTCTCAAGAGGGGGGTAGGGTTATTTATGAATAAGAAAGACATCTAGACCATTCCATCAACCATTACAAAGATATTCCTTCGCTCGAATGACCTTTGGTGGACTTGTGAAAGTCTTAATAATGTCGAAATTAAGTGATCTTAAACTCGTTGAATTCTTCTCGCAAATACATTTGATTTGACTATAAACTTATTAAATTTGGAATTCGTTTGACCTTCCAAATATATACAAAAAGCTTTAAAAGTGGTTTAAAAATAGATTCATTTAGGTTACATTTGACTTTGATTAAACGAATTTTGTTATTTAAAATTTTCGATTTCGTCCCCACAGCTTCACAATGGTGGACTACATTCTATTTCACCCGTATCACAGTAGTTAAGAACATAATTTTCTTTCGTAACATTGCGAGTTTGATTCGTACAAATTACCCTTTGAACTGTCTTTCCCAAAATAGGAAAAAAAACCCAACCCAATTATTACTACTTGATAGCATGTGTTGTATTTGTATATTTATTTATTTGTCTTAACCGGTTTCAACTTGATTTCCAAATATAAGTTGGAGTTGGATCGAATTGTACACCTTTTTGGAAAGAGGGTCCGCCCCTCAGTCAGACTATGGGATTTATTGGCGATCAACCTTTTAAATATATATAAGTTCACGATATTCAAAAGGAAAATGGACTTCAAGATTATTGATTGTAATTGAATGGTTGCTTTAGTTTTGTTGCATGCCAAACTCGATTTAAACTAAATCAGTTTGCAACCTAACATATGAGGCAAAAGTGACAGATATGATATTAAAATTTAGGAAGGACTTCACAATTATTAGATTTTCTTTCAGATGGTTGTAATAAATATTTGAATTGTCATCTAAACATCGTACACTCATCCTAAATAAATTTAATAATTTTTAAATTTATTCGAACTATTAAATTACTCGAGTGGTGGCCCCGAAAAATAGAGTGGGCGGCCCGCATCTATGTCCGAGAATAAGAATGAAGAAAGAAAGAAAAAGATTGATTTGTTGGCCGCTTTA